TGACAGTAAATTCTTGTAGTATCTCGTAATATCTCATCTTGGTGTTTGATCGCTCACGTTGTTTCTTTCCATCTGTCAAATAAAGCGGGTCAAAGTTCATATTACAAAATTTCATTCTGTTCTTATTTATATGTGTTTAGCAATAAAGAGAATAAAAGATGAGGGAAAGGGCGGTGGACGACGATGAAAGTGACGTGCTTGAGAAGGAAAAGGGAAGAAGACGAGGAGGGAAGGGGAAGTGAATGAGGAGGGATAGGGAGGTGGACGAGGAGGGAAAGGAAAGTGAATGAGGAGGAAAAGGGGACGTGAATGAGGAGGGAAGGGGAGGTGGACGAGGATGAAATGGGAAGTGGACGAGGAGGGAAGGGAAGAGGACGAGGAGGAAAAGGAAAGTGAATGAGGAGGGTAAGGAAGGAGGACGAGGAGAGAAGGGGAAGTGAATGAGGAAGGAAGGGGAGGTGGACGAGGAGGGAAGGGGAGGACGAGGAGGGAAGGGGAGGTGGACGGGAAGGAAAAGGGAAGTGGGCGAGGAGAGAAGGGGAGGTGAACGAGGAGGGAAGGGGAGGTGAACGAGGAGAGAAGGGGAGGTGAACGAGGAAGAAGGGGAGGTGAACGAGGAGGGAAGGGGAGGTGAACGAGGAGGAAGGGGAGGTGAACGAGGAGGGAAGGGGAGGTGAACGAGGAGGGAAGGGGAGGTGGACGAGGAGGGAAGGGGAGGTGAACGAGGAGGGAAGGGGAGGCGGAGAACAAGGATAGAAGGAAAAGAATAAGAGGATGACAACGAAAAAGAAGACAAGGGAGAAGAAGTTTGGGGAAGTGGGACAAGGAGGAGGAGGACGACAAGGAGAACGGAGAGAAAGGGAAAGATTGGGGAAGTCAGGACGAGGAGGAGGAGGACGGATAGAAAGGAGAAAACAACGACAACTGCGAGGACATTAATGGGGAAACGAACGAGAAGAATAATAGAGTATATCTTTTGATGTGTGATGAGATTTTCCTAGTGACAGTATAATCACATCAAGATATATCTATCTTTACAAAGACAGACAAGGTAGTCACTGAAACGAATTCATGTGCAAAATAATCTTCGACATAGGAAATTTTAGAATTTCAACAAGCTGAAGTTAGTTTTTTAAAAAAGATATAAAAAAATAAAACCTAACAAAAATACTTGACAGTTTTGTTGCAATAGGCTTGTATTCATATTTTATATTCATTGTGTTCTCTATAAACACAAAGACTTTACGAAATAACCAAAAATTATTGATTTAAAGAAATTCTCCCCATCGAGAACAAAGAAGATCAAATGATAGAGACTGTGCCCGTGATCTGTTTACTCAGCACATCTTAAAACTAGTGACCAACGGTCAATACAGACGGGTCAATTAGGGTCAGTAAGAAAGAACCGCTAGCTTGATATAAAGCCACACACGACTGATGTTCCGGCCACATATTCACTGTCCAAATCACCCTCAATTTCCCGAGCTCTTTGTCTTGTGGACAAGGGTCATGTTCAGGTCTGACCCTTGCGGGGGAATGAACTCTGGGATGCCGCAGCCATCTGCCAAAGACACGCTCACTGACTCAGTCGTTGTCATTATAAAAACTAACGTTCCGGTTCAACGCACAAGGTGTTAATTTGGCGAATCAAGCGTGATTACCTTTTTCTAGGATCGGCGATGAATCGGGATTTAGCAATAAATCGAATCAAATATTAGGTGATTGACATTGACCAATTTTGATAAACATGCTAATTATAGTTCATTACATAATGAATTACCGCCCTTTAAAAAAAAAAATATGAAAATCCTAAAGATTTAAATAGGAAAGTTTTTTTTATTTCATGTTTATACTTATTCTGTGTATCCAATTTAGTGCTAAAAGTAAGGTGTGTTTTTAACATGAGTGCGTGATAACCATCTTGGTGCCATGTTTGGTAATTTCGTGGAATGTAAAGACGAACAGAATGATCTAAATGTTGATTCGTCGAAATCCTTTACCGGAAGTGTTCAGTCAATGAGAAATCCCCGTTCGAGAAAAATCAATATCCGACTTCCGGTAAAGGCTAGAGGCTGTTTGCATATTCCTTTTTGGTAATACCCACAGTAATCCTAAAACTACGCGAAAATAAATGCTGTGTTTCGATGTCAAAACATCACTAGTGTTGAATCAGAATGGTTGTTGACAAACTAACGTTTACGTCTGCTGACTGCATCATCACATGACAGGCACTGTTAGTTCCAAAGATGAAAAAAAAATTATGATTTGAACGAAAATGGCAAGGAGGAGGATAAATGTTGGAATTAAGAATGTAATATAATGAAAATAATGTATTGTTGGATATAATGAATAATAATAATTCAAGAATGTGCCTGAATCCATACGTAAAACATGATTCTGGATTTAAATGGTGAATCTGACAGCTTGTTAATACAAATAATCCGACAACATTTCCTAGGAAAAAATGACGGCTGACAGCCATGTATTTGACCAGCGACCACGATGTCTCTACTGTGTCTACACTAATCAGGCTCACGTCCCGGAAAGCCACGCGCTGTCCTCGCGCGATCAATACTTGGCAGCCGAAAAAAATCGGATTCTGATGCCGTGGATAAACACACATTATTGGAATGTGTGACATTCCTGATCATCGAGATTAAAGTCGTAAACCACCTAACAATACGGGCGGAAAGTATCCTGACCAATATGTCGTTATCTCTAGGAACCTTATTGAGCTCTTTTGTGACAATTAGCTGTAGATGTCCCCATCTGTTGTTGCGTTGTCCTATTTCACGACAGAACACACGCTCACAGGCACAGCGTAATCATAAACTCAATGTTCTATGGAGTTGTCTGTATATTCATATATATATTCACAACCATCTTGAAAAAGCTTTATTACTCCATGGTCTGTACACATACAAAGATTTCACTGTTAACGTCAAAAAATACAATATTTGTTAAATAACGATTGTGTTGATTGACCCATAACACAAACAAAGGAGTGTACAAATAGCTTTGTTATTTATGTAGAAGACATTCCGTTTTATAGTAAACATAATAATCATCAGGTTAAAATCACTTCTAAATAAAGAATATATATATTTGTAATAACGACACTATCCTAACATAGGGACGACGCTTTTCGAAAGCCAAGAAGCTGGTTTTCTAAGGTAGTATTCAAACAATCTTTATTGTAGTGTTTTGTTCAAATGTGTTCCTAATTCATATATACTGTCTCTCTCTCCCTCACTGCTTCTCTTTCTCTCTCTCTCTCGCTGTCTCTGTCCCTGTCCCTCGCACTCTCTGTCTCTGTCCCTGTCTCTGTCTCTCGCTCTCTCTGTCTCTCTCTGTCTCTCTCTGTCCGTCCCTGTCTCTCGTTATCTCTGTCTCTCTCTGTTTCTCTGTCTCTCTGTCTCTCTCTATCATTCTCTGTCTGTCTCTCTCCCTCACTCTCTCTCTGTATCTCTGTCCCTGTCTGTCTCTCTGTTTCTCTCTGTCTCTCTGTCTCTCTCGCTCTCTCTGTCTCTCTCTGTCTCGGTCTCTCTCTGTCTCTCTCTGACTCTGTCTCTCATTCTCTGTCTGTCTCTCTCCCTCACTCTCTCTGTGTATCTCTGTCCCTGTCTGTCTCTCTCTGTCTCTCTGTCTCTCTCTCGCTCTCTCTGTCTCGGTCTCTCTCTGTCTTGGTCTCTCTCTGTCTCTCTCTGACTCTGTCTCTGCATGTCTTTGTCTCTCTCTCTCTGTCTGTATCTCTCTCCTTGTGGTTGTATGAAAGTGTCAGAGTGTATTTGAATATTGTAAATATTTTCGTTCAGAGGATACACAAATCAATGTTTTATTGTAGGAACATAGTGAAGAACAACTGTTGCCAAGTCCAGTTACTATCAAAAGGAATTAAACATTCAACTCTAATCAAAAGCAATACAAATCTTCGAGATACGCTATCAGATATCCTTTCAACAAGATTCTCAACCTCCACTGACTGAAGAGTTCTTGCAAAGAGGACTAACTACGATATTAAATTTGACCCCATCTTGTACAGTCGACAGAACTACCGAGGCATCAATCATACTAAAATCAATGTCTGGATTAATAACGAGAAGTTATACATCTTCCATAACAGAAGAGCTCTCCAAGGAGGGATAATTCCCAGACACACCATGATGCGTATATTTGTGCATGCTTATAAACTATTGAAGCAATGTTTCCACTGTCGTCATACACGATCTCAATGTCCATTTGAATAAAATAGCAATTAAGCTGATAGATCGAGCTATAAATGAACGTGTTGTTTAGTTATTAAATTAAGAAGAAGCATTTAGATAATCTATCTTGTGTGTAAAGGAATTTTCATGTAACAAAAACTTCGTCTGCAGCAAGAAATGCTTTGCTGCACAATAAGACATTGCTGCAGTAAGTGGATTGAGACGAAATGTAACCTTCGTTCGTGGATGGACGGAAGTCAGTGCCATTTCTGGTTAGCATGTGAATAATTTCATGTTTAAGTATTCACTTTTTTAATTGTAGATGTAAATTTGAATCTTTTTATACGATACAAAAATGTTCAAGAGATAATTTTAAAAAGTTGATCAATAGATTAATTTCTTTGTAGAAACTGACTCTGTATACTTCACTAAACTTTAGAACGTTTCATCTGAAAATTTCTGATATTATACAACTTTTCATTTAAATAATGGATAAAGATTTACCTTGATGTAATTAACAAAATCAATTTGTTAAATTAATTACATTTTTCATCTTCCCATGAAATATGGTAGTGACATGAAACAGGAACAGAAGGTGTGGAATGTTCTGCTTTAAGTAGTCTTGAGGAAGCTGTCGTGTTCTTCGATTCAAATTTGCCTTCCTTTAAGACTAATTAATGAATAAGATAATTGAAGGTGTCGATTTGCAAACAGATTCAAATTTACATGATACATAGGTAAGCTCATACGCATTTGATTGGAAGAGGAAGAAAACGTGACGTCACACACAATCACCTTCGTCTGTTTTCGTACCTGCCCTGCTTTCGCTGTCGGCCGGTTTCACTTGGATTGGACGGTTCATCTGCAAATACAAAAACAAAGAGAGAAATAAAATTTGTGCCAAGACCTATTGAGGTTCTTCCCCTCATAAATTTCAACATAACATGATTCAATCCTTGATTATCGTTACTTGATTTCCATGAGAATCGTAAGGGAGGTATAACTGATAAGACATTACATTAGATTGTTGGGTGGAGCAGAGGGTAGCTTATTCGCCTTTCAGCTAGCCAATCCGTCACCAGAGTTTGATTTCCCGATTCCCGTTCGGATGTCTAACCCCAATACTCCGGTTTCCCCAACAGCAACACCTTCGTATGCTTCCCTCAGCGTTAACAAGCACGAGGCTGATGCAAATTGTTTCACATTTTCTAAATTTAAATTTACAACTTTAAAATATCAGCACTTTCTATCTCAAATCAATTTTGAAAAACTTGTTCAAAACACACAGATCTATTCATGTGTTGTACGGAACAAGAAGTATGGCAATACGGAATTATTATATTTTTAAACATGTTTTTTACTGCAGGTTATGCAGACCGAACCCAAACGAGGCTGATGGCATTCAGTCAATAACAAACCCTAAACCCTCGAACATCCGGTAACGGAAAAAACTGAAACCGGAATGATATCCACATAATTTCATTTCCCCGAATGAATAAACAATCGAGACAATTTATAATCATATGATATTCGGATATTGCAAAAACATGAAACACCGTTTGATCGGATACGAATACTCCCAAGGGGTATCGAGTGACAACTCTATCCGTCATTAATGGGTATCATATGAAATTGCGGAATGGACGTGAAATAAGCGAAAAGAAATTACTCGTCAAAACTCGAGAGCACTATGTATAATTCATTCTCTCGGAAAATGACAGTTTAAAAGCAAATATCACATAACAAAGAATGGTATTTGATGTGATTTCGGAACATTTTCGCTATGAATGTTATTTCAAGTTGGTATCACAATTATGATAAAATATCAGCAACACAGATTGAACAGTAGCATTTTTTAAAATCATTTATTTATTTCCAAAGGTACAGAACAGCAATTCTGAAATGAAATAAAAAGCTTCAAATAAATATAAAATAAAAATAAAGATCTCATTTACAATACAGAAGATACAGAGGGAATATCTAGGATGGCGTTGAGACCACACGTATTTTCGCGAGAGACTGGGCTGGTCTTTACCAGAAACGGAGCTGTTGACGAGGCAATCTTTACCAGAAACGGAGCTGTTGACGAGGCCATCTTTACCAGAAACGGAACTGTTGACAGGACAATCTTTACCAGGAACAGAGCTGTTGACGGAGCAATCTTTACCAGAAACAGAGCTGTTGACAAAAAAAATCTTTACCAAAGATTTTGCAGTTGTCGGGACAATCTTTACCAGAGATTGGGCTGTTGACAGGAAAATCTTCACCAGAAATTGGGCGTTTGACGGGACAACCTTTACCAGAGATTGGGCAGTTGACGGGACAATCTTTATCAGAGATTGGGCTGTTGACAGGACAATCTTTACCAGAGATTGCGTTGTTGACGGGGCACTCTTTACCAGAGACTGGACTGTTGGCGAAGCGATCTTCACCAGAAAGTGAGCTGTTGTTAGGACAATCTTTTCGGGGAAAAAGGGTGTAGCTTTACATACACTTGGCAAGGTACCAACTTCTAAGTAAATACTTTGACAGAATCCATGAACAATTACAGCAGCTATTTAAATCAATATTTTTAAAGTTGATGCCAGCATGACACTGTGCATATGGAGTACTACTTAGTAATTTGATTAAATTTCGTCCAATGTTAGATAATGTGATATATATAAACATATAGGGTTTGCATAGGTTCATTGGTGTGAGGATTGAGGAGGGGGCGGAGGGGGGAGGTTGTGAGGATTGAGAGGAGGGTGGGGGTCGGAGTTTTAAAACACCAAGCTCTCAACAATTCCATGAAAATGTCTATATTTAGCAACATTTAAAAATAAAACTTCAACGGATGATCACGCTGGAATCAAATATCAAATTAGATGATATAAAAAAATCGCAATCTATTTCTATAGTGCAAATGGCGTCATGATGACGTACGTAAGGGATCACGGAGATCAGTTTAATTAATTGTCGACATAAATGACGTCAAGCTGCATCAGTCACGTGACATTTATGATTTAAATTGATAAAACGTAATCAAATTTATCAAAAATAGTTACAATAGTTCCGGTGAAATAATAGTTACAGTTGTACATTCAATAATCATTAAGATTTAGTTATCATTTGATCGTTTTAAAAAGCCGGTAAGTGAACAAAACCTTACTTCAAAGACCAACTTAGAGGAAATAATTAAGTATCTATCTATAGGACTGTGAAATCAGCATTGAACTTGTGACGTCATAAATGCGGGCTCCCCATATCGAGGTGATCACTGTTGAGTCAAAGGTTTCAGATAAATCACAATATCTCAGACACGGAACTGACTACGATGTTCGCACTTTCAGGGTCTTTTGTCGTAGTAGCATATAAAATAATCATAAACTACATAGAGCGAAACACGCGGGTACACTTTGAACCATGTGAAAGCGACGACACTGAGCGATTTAATCCTATCCAGGTTATAATAAAACGTTCGATATTTTATTTTAATATTTTTTTCTTATTTTTTTTATTCATTTTTTTTGAGAGGGGTGCTTTCTTTGCAGCTTGTCATCATTGATTTATTGATTATTGATTCTGTTATTCATTCATTAACCTATTTATTTTCGTTTTTTTTTTTTTTTTTTTTTTTTTTTGCTTTTTTTTTTCTTTTGTGTTTTTTGTTGTTGTTTTTTCTTTATTTTCCGTCCTCGTGAGTCAATCATTAGTGGTAGGGATTTGTAATGACGTTGATTTACGTATGTATATATATATATATGTATACACTTTTAGTTTATTATTCGTTTCATTGTTTTCACATCCTCTGACCTTGTAACATCGTCAAATAAAGATGACAACAAGACAAGAGGAAGACGGTCAGCTGGTCAGCTGTAAACTGTAGAGTGGACTTGTGTTCGGTGTTTCCTATAGGGATACAGAGACTGGCAATACGCACTGATCAATACTGAAAATACTGAAGGAAAATTTATTTCAACCGAGGAAAAAAATCTCTCTGATTGTAGCAGAAATTAATTTTCTCACACGATTGTTCTCTGCTAATGTCCCTCGACTGTCATTTATGATTTGCATGCCTAGGAAAGAAAAGTTTCGAGTTTCTCTAAGCAACAATACTTCTTCCGCCTGACTAGCCACAGATCCAACGGATGCCGATACATTGCAACCGGAAGTCAATTTCCCGCCTCTACCATTAGCGGTAAAAACCGGAAGTTCATGCGTTAGTAAGTAGAGTAACGAACATTTGCAAAGGATTTCATCGATAACACGTGACCTAAATGGAAACAAAGGTCATAAAATCCAACGTGAGAATTTCTGAAAACACAAATGGTTTACCTTACTGACACACGCTGTGTATATTTGAATTATACCCACTTCAACAGTCTTGATCATTTTGGGCGAAGTCTCTTGGTGATATCATGTAGAAACCTCTCTTAACAACATGCGGGAGGACTGCCAAATGCTATCCAAAACAATACTGATTAATATCCTGTCCAAGGACATCCCCACTCATTAGGACAAGACGACGCTTCATCTGAGAAACCCAAATCTGTTCCGGGAAGGGATTGAACTGAACACCTCGGATTTTCTCTTCAGAGTGAGGCGTCTGATTCTCTACCTGACATAGATATCACTACCAACGGTTTGGGTTATCTCCAACATCAAAGAAAAAATTGGAATTCATATACCTGAACAATAATTCATGTTTGAAAATAAGGGGAAAGACAAAATATATATATCGTAAGCGTGAAATCTCAGTCTGATAAAAAAACGGTAACAATTTGGTATTGAAATATGACTTTCCTAAGTCTTGTATATAAACCCCATCAACGCAAACGTCTTTATTCAAGTTTTCCATGTACGTTGCTAATTGAAATACATATTACTCAAATCAACCTATTGCACTCAAACGTTATCATTTGATCCAAAATCAATAATATGTTAGCGTGTCCTAGGAAAAGCGAGTGTCAACCACTTGTGTTATAGATGATAGTACATCGATCACAAATCTGTTATTAACGACCTTGCTTTTGTCTATGTCGTGTTCCGTTGACATTAAACATTTCAATGACTCAAATATCGATCAGCGATATTAACCAGAACGAGGCTACTTTCAGCATTGTTAGGTTAACACAGAAATAATCATTACACAGACATAATTAAAGTTATATTCCTGAACATATTTTTATTTTGTGTCGAACTTGAGATACGTTATGTACTTGTGTGACGGTCTCGAGGCTCTACAGATGTACAGATGATATTAAATCTGCTTTTCATTTTAATTAAACTGATTCATCCTTTGATAAAAAAATCACGTTTGAAATAAGACTGACAATAGATCCGTGTCTTAACCAGTAGACAAGCATGCTCGATATTAGTGACCTGATGAGCTATTGATTGTTACTCATTGCTTCTTAGTAAAACAGACAATCTTTTTAACCTGAAATATCATACTTGCGATGTATGCATTGTCAGCTTTGAACATTCAAAAAGAAATTTAAAAATGTTTCAAAAAATACAGATTCAGAACAATTTGCCTTATTTTTCCGTTTTATGTTACTATATCATCTATGTTTTTAACAATGTTGATAAGTCAAGAAATGTTTACTGATCAGAAAAAATGTTATTTCAGTGTAAGAAGGCATTCAATGTCAGAAAGCTGACAATGCTAACTGAAACAAATTTCTGAGGAACTTGAAGAAACCATCAAAACTTCTTCATGTCGAAGCGATTACTTTGATCTCATTGTCTCCGATTGATCGTGATCATCTGCTCTTTGAAATATTAGATGTTTTCGTGATTAAACCCACCAATCATTATTGGACGGTCTAATTAAAGACGGTATTCAGGTATCTTGAATCCGGAATCACAGTAACACTA